CTTTAATAATCAAGATAGAGAAAGTGACTTAAACCAAGTAATTTTGAAATCATACCTAGGTAGAAAAGCAAAAATAATCATGCTTTGCAAACCCTTTCACACAAGAATTACCAAAGTCTAAGGAATAAACAATTTTTTTTGGTCCTTTTTTTTTTCTCTTTTTTGTTTTGTTTTGTTTTGTTTTGTTTTTTTTTTTTGAAGAGAATGTACATAAAAAGTGTGCCAAAAATGTGCATGCAATGCTACCACCCCCAACCTAAATGAGACAGTGTCTTCACTAGCATAAAAGAAACAAAGGCAACCCTAAAATGTAACAACTAGGGAAGGCAACCTAAAAAAAAAAAAACTAATAAAAGAAAAACTACTAAAAGAAAATGAGAAAAACAAATGATAGTCTGGAAAGATAAAACCTGATTATGCCTCATAGATTGGAGTCACGAGAGTGCTCTCTTGAGGTTGGTCTACTCGCTCCACATACTGCTTCAATCGTTGTCCATTAACTCAAAAATTTCTCCCATCAATTGGATCCTCAATCTCAACTGAACCATTAGGGAAAACCTGTTTCACCACAAATGGCCCTGTCCATCTAGACCTTAGCTTTCCTAGATGAAGGTGCAACTGAGAATCATAAAGATGCACTTTTTGATTTGGCTCAAAGTTCTTCCTTAGGATCTGCTTGTCATGAGCTGCTTTCAATTTAGCCTTGTAGATCCTAAAGTTATCATATGCATCATTCCTCAATTCTTCTATCTCTGATATTTGTAACTTTCTTTGGGTACGTGCAGCATTCAAATCAAAATTAAGTGCTTTAGTAGCCCAATAAGCTTTATGTTCAAGTTCCACAAGCAAATGACATGCTTTCCCATATACAAGCCGATATGGAGACACCCCAAGAATAGTCTTATAAGGAGTGTGATATGCCCACAATGCATCTAAAAGGCAGAAAGACCAATCTTTGCAGTTTGGGTTTACCATTTTCTCTAAAATTTGTTTTACCTCCTTATTAGCTAATTCAGCTTGACCATTAGTCCGTGGATGGTAAGCGGTTGACACCTTGTGAATAACACCATATCTGCGCATCAAGGCTTCAAAAGAACAATTACAAAAATGTGTCCCTTGATCACTAATAATCACACGTGGTGTACCATACCTAGATAACACATTTTTGTTCAAGAACTTAACAACTACTTTGTTATCATTGGTACGACAAGGTATAGCTTCAGCCCATTTAGACACATAATCAACAGCAAGAAGAATATAAAGGTAACCAAAAGAAGATGGAAATGGTCCCATGAAATCAATACCCTAACAATAAAAAATCTCATTGACTAGAATTGGGTTAAGATGCATCATGTGACGACAAGTTAATGCACCTAACTTTTGGCACCTATCACAGGAATGACAAAAAGAATTAGTATCCTTAAACAAAGTAGGCCAATAGAATCCACATTGCAAAATTTTTGCAGCAGTTTTCTTCATCGAAAAATGGCCACCACAAGGTTCAGAGTGACAAAAGTTAAGGACACTATTAATCTCATATTCAAGAGTACATCGTCTCATGATCTAGTCAGGGCAATACTTAAACAAATAAGGATCATCCCAATAAAAATTTCTTACCTCAACCAAGAACTTACGCTTATCTTGTGCACTCCAATCCAATGGAATTTCATTACAAACCAAGTAGTTAATAATGTGAGTGTACCATGGAACTTGGCTAATAGTGAGCAAATGTTCATTAAGGAAGTCATCTCGAATTGGTGAACTTTCAATATTGGAGTCATTAAACTCCAATCGAGACAAATGATCAGCCACCACATTTTCAACACCCTTCTTGTCTTTAATTGTGAGATCAAATTCCTGCAAAGGTAAAATCCACCTAATCAAACGAGCTTTAACATCCTTCTTAGATAGAAGGTAGTTAAGCATTGCATGGTTAGTAAATATAGTAATAGGTGAACCAATGAGACAAGAACAGAATTGATCTAACGCAAAAACAATAGCTAGTAACTCTTTTTCAGTTGTAGAATAATTCCTTTGAGCACTATTAAGAGTTATACTAGCATAATATACAACAAAGGGCTTCCCTTCCCTTCTTTTGCCTAAAACTACTCCTACAGCATGGTTACTAGCATCACACATAATCTCAAACGGAAGACTCCAATCTAGTGATTGTATGATCAATGCGGTAGTTAATTTGGTGACAAGGGTTTGAAAAGCTTCTTCACATTTAGGAGTCCAATTAAACTCAACATCTTTGGCTAGGAGGTTACACAAAGGTTGAGCTATAGCTGAAAAATTTTGAATGAGCCTCCTATAAAAACCAGCATGTCCAAGAAAAGACTGAACATCTTTGACCATTTTGGGTGTAGGTAATTTAGAGATCAACTTGATTTTGGCCCTGTCAACCTCTATTCCTCTTTCAAGCGCAATATGTCCCAAAACAATACCTGACGACATCATGAAATGACATTTTTCCCAATTAAGCACAAGTCCTTTTTCCTCACACCTAATTAAAACAGTTTTCAAATTAAATAGGCATGAATCAAAAGAATCACCAAAAACAGTCAAGTCATCCATAAAAACTTCCATTATTTCCTCAACCAATTCAGAAATTATGCTAAGCACACAACGTTGAAAAGTGGCTGGACCATTACATAAACCAAATGGCATTCTACGAAAAGCATAAGTACCAAAATGACATGTAAAAGTGGTCTTTTCTTGATTTCTAAAGCTATCTCAATCTGATAATAACCTGAATAACCATCAAGAAAGCAATAGAAAGGATGCCCAGCAACACGCTTTAAAATTTGGTCAATAAATGGCAACAAAAATGGTCCTTCCTAGTGGCTGCATTTAATTTCCTATAATTAAGGCATATGTGTCACCTAGTTACTGCCCTAGTTGGTACAAGAACTCCCTCGTCATTTTCAACTACTGTTACCCCTGATTTCTTTGGCACTACTTGAGTAGGACTAACCCATTTATTATCAGATATAAGATATATGATTCCTGCATCTAACAAGTTCAAGATCTTTTTTTTCACAACTTCTTTCATTGTTGGGTTCAATTTTTTTTTAGGGTCTCTACGTGGGATAGATCCTTCTTCTAAATGAATCCTATGAGAACAAATCAATGGGCTTATACCTTTAATGTCAGCTAAAGTCCAACCTAGTGCAGATTTATGTTCTTTTAATATATGTACCAATTTCTCCTCTTGTTCAGCATTAAGTTTAGAAGATATTATAACAGGAAATGTATCACTTGGACCCAAGAATGCATGTTTCAACCCTTTAGGAAGTGGGGATAACTCGACTTTTGGTGGCTTTAGTGAAGATGGCTTTGGTTGTTCCCTTTCACATGGTAACTCCTTAAAGCGTGGTTGCCAAAACTTCTTTTGCTTATCCTAATCAACATTAGAAATAAAAGAAACATTAGAAATACCATTATTAGAATAAAGCAAAAACTCAGAGTTTAAATCAAAATTATAAAGGAAGTGTTCTAAAGATTTAGAATTTTCCCTTTCTTGTATTTCCTCAACAAGTGAATCTATCATGTAGGAATGATAACATTCATCATCTTCTTGTGGTTGCTTCCCAACATGAAAAATATTCACCTCAAGAGTCATGTTCCCAAATGAAAGTTTCATCAAACCATTCGTACAATTAATGAGAGCATTAGCAGTAGCAAGAAATGGCCTTCCTAAAATAAGTGGAATTTTTGACTCACTATTAACTTCAGACTGAGTGTCTAACACAAGAAAATCAACATGATAATAAAATTTATCAATCTGAAGCAAAACATCTTCTACTATCCCTCTTGGTTTCCTACAAGAACGATCAGCCAATTATAACACCACAGATGTGGGTTTTATCTCTCCAAGATCTAACTGCATATAAACTAAATAAGGCATTAAATTCACACTTGCTCCTAAATCCAAAAGAGCTTGATTGAACTCTTATGACCCAATTTAGCGAGCAATTGTTGGGCACCCTGGATCTTTGTACTTTGGCAGTGATTTTTGCTCAATTACTACACTTACCTGTTCTGTCAAGAATGCAGTTTTCTTGACATGGTGTCTCCTTTTCATGGTGCATAGAACCTTGATCACTTTGGCATAAGTTGGTACCTGTTTAATCACATGCAACAAAGGTAGATTAATCTTAACTTGTTTCAAATTTTCTAAAATCTCACCTTGGTTGTCTGAAATCTTTCCAGTTTTAAGAGCTTGAGGGAAAGGAACTCGAATTAAGACCTCCTTCTCAGGTTCTTCCAACATGTCGTCTTCATGGCTACTTGGAGTAGCGTCCTTCAAAATTTAGATGCTTTTTGCAACGATTCTATAACCTTACCAATACAAGCAGTGATTGATTCAAAAAAAAAAAAAAAAAGTAGATTAAAGTGTATGAATAGACCGAGGGACGAAAAATGGATATTTATTAAATTAGATCTACTACCCTTTCAAAAAGAAGAAATCGAGTCTAATTCATCCTTTAATTCTGAAACCACGAGTCAAGACGGGAATCAACCTATTAGGACTTTGAAAGACTGCTTGCACCCCACTAGAACAGCTACACCACCATGCATAATGTTTCCTCCTAATACACCACACTTTAAGTTCAAACCTGGAATGACTCAGCTTTTGCCTAGTTTCTATGGTTTAGAGAATGAAAATCCATATATGCGTATTAGGGAATTTGAGGAGGTAGTAGCTACTTTTCATAATTAAGCTGACACTATAAACACAGTTAGGTTGAAATTATTTCCCTTCTCCTTGAAAGACAAAGCTAAAATTTGGTTATATTTTTTGAGATCGAGATTTATAGGTACATGGGCAGAGATGACTTAAGCTTTCTTTAACAAGTACTTTCCGCACCATAAAACTAATAATTTTAAAAGACAAATCTCCACATTTTCTCAAAAGGTATACCAAGCATGGGAGAGGTTTAAAGGATTACAAAACTTGTGTCCACATCATGGGTATGAAACTTGGAGGTTGGTTGGTTATTTCTATTCAGGTTTAACTAGTAGGGAGCGTCAATTCATAGAGATGACATGTAATGGGGAGTTTTTGCATAAGGACCCAAAAGAAGCAATAGATTATTTAAATGAGTTAGTTGAAAAAGCTCACACTTGGACAGGACCTAGTGCCACTAATAATACTAGTAGGTCACGATCATTTGGGATTTACCACCTTAGGGAGGAAGATAACCTTAAAGCCCCATTAGAAGTTGCAACTAGGGAACTTGAGACCTTAAAAATGAAAAATACAGTCACCCACACAGTTTCTAGGGTTTGTGGGGGATTGGATCATTTAGCTCAAGATTGCCTAACTTATGGTGAGATGAGAGGGGTGTATGAAGAACAATGTAATGCATTAGGAATGGGTAAGGAACCTTTTTCACCCTATTTAGAGACATACAATCCTAGTTGGATGAACCATCCCAATTTTAGTTGGAAGGCTAATCAGAACCATCCCACATCATCCAACAATACTTGGAATAGTGAAGCTCAACCACCTAGGTCTTACCCTACACCTCAATACAATGCACGACCAAATAGAAATCCTTTAGAGGAAACACTTAAGGCATTTACGGAGGCACAGACTAAGACTAACCAAAGTTTGATTTTGTTCTTACACAGATGGTTGGAGAAAACAAGGATATCAAGAGTCAACTAACTAAGTTGACCAATGCTCTTACTATCCAAGAACGAGGTAAGATTCCAACTCAACCTCAAGCTAAACTTAAAAATTTACACTTTGTGCAGGAATCTACCTCTAATTCGAAGAACATAAAATGGGTCAACGCAATCACTACTCGTATTGGTAAGGTTATAGAACCGTTGCAAAAAGCATCTAATTGAAGGACGCTACTCCAAGTAACCATGAAGATGACCTGTTGGAAGAACTTGAGAAAGAGGTCCCAATTTGAGTTCCTTTCCCTCAAGCTCTTAAAACTGGAAAGATTTCAGACAACCAAGGTGAGATTTTAACAAATTTGAAACAAGTTAAGATTAATCTACCTTTGTTGCATGTGACTAAACAGGTACCAACTTATGCCAAAGTGATCAAGGATCTATGCACCATGAAAAGGAAGCACCATGAAAAGGAAACACCATGTCAACAAAACTGCATTCTTGACAGAACAGGTAAGTGCGGTAATTGAGCAAAAATCACCACCAAAGTACAAAGATCTAGGGTGCCGAACAATTGCTTGCCAAATTGGGTCACAAGAGTTCAGTCAAGTTCTTTTGGATTTGGGAGCAAGTGTGAATTTAATGCCTTATTCAGTTTATTTGCAGTTAGGTCTTGGAGAGATAAAACCCACATCTGTGGTGTTACAATTGGCTGATCGTTCTTGTAGGAAACCAAGAGGGAAAGTAAAAGATGTTTTGCTTCAGATTGATAAATTTTATTATCCTGTTGATTTTCTTGTGTTAGACACTCAGTCTAAAGTTAATAATGAGCCAAAAATTCCACTTATTTTAGGAAGGCCATTTCTTGCTACTGCTAATGCTCTCATTAATTGTACGAATGGTTTGATGAAACTTTCATTTGGGAACATGACTCTTGAGTTGAATATTTTTCATGTTGGGAAGCAACCACAAGAAGATGATGAATGTTATCATTCCTACATGATAGATTCACTTGTTGAGGAAATACAAGAAAGGAAAATTTCTAAATCTTTAGAACACTTCCTTTATAATTTTGATTTAAACTCTGAGTTTTTGCTTTATTCTAATAATGGTATTTCTAATGTTTCTTTTATATCTAATCCTGATCAGGATAAGCAAAAGAAGTTTTGGCAACCATGCTTTGAGAAGTTACCATGTGAAAGAGAACAACCAAAGCCATCTTCACTAGAGACATCAAAAGTCGAGTTATCCCCACTTCCTGAAGGGTTGAAACATGTATTCTTGGGTCTAGGTGATACCTTTCCTGTTATAATATCTTCTAAACTTAGTGCTGAACAAGAGGAGAAATTGGTACATATATTAAAAGAACATAAATCTGCACTAGGTTGGACTATAGCTGACATTAAAGGTATAAGCCCATTGATTTGTTCTCATAGGATTCATTTAGAAGAAGGATCTATCCCACATAGAGACCCTCAAAGAAAATTGAACCCAACAATGAAAGCAGTTATGAAAAAAGAGGTCTTGAAATTGTTAGATGCAGGAATCATATATCCTATATCTGATATTAAATGGGTTAGTCCTACTCAAGTAGCACCAAAGAAGTCAGGGGTAACAATAGTTGAAAATGACGAGGGAGTTCTTGTACCAACTAGGGCAGTAACTGGGTGGCACATGTGAATTGATTATAGGAAACTAAATGTAGCCACTAGCAAGGACAATTTTTCATTGCCATTTATTGACCAAATTTTAGAGCGTGTTGCTGGGCATCTTTTCTTGCTTTCTTGATGGTTATTCAGGTTATTATCAGATTGAGATAGCTTTAGAAGATCAAGAAAAGACCACTTTTACATGTCCTTTTAGTACTTATGCTTTTCGTAGAATGCCATTTGGTTTATGTAATGGTCCAGCCACTTTTCAACGTTGTGTGCTTAGCATATTTTCTGAATTGGTTGAGGAAATAATGGAAGTTTTTATGGATGACTTGACTGTTTTTGGTGATTCTTTTGATTCATGCCTATTTAATTTGAAAACTATTTTAATTAGGTGTGAGGAAAAAGGACTTGTGCTTAATTGGGAAAAATGTCATTTCATGGTGTCGTCAAGTATTGTTTTGGGACATATTGTGTCTGAAAGAGGAATAGAGGTTGACAAGGCCAAAATTGAGTTGATCTCTAAATTACCTACACCAAAAACGGTAAAAGATGTTCAGTCTTTTCTTGGACATGCTGGTTTTTATAGGAGGTTCATTCAAAATTTTTCAACCATAGCTCAACCTTTGTGTAACCTCCTAGCCAAAGATGTTGAGTTTAATTGGACTCCTAAATGTGAAAAAGCTTTTCGAACCCTTGTCACCATATTAACTACCGCACCAATCATACAATCACCAGATTGGAGTCTTCCATTTGAAATTATATGTGATGCTAGTAACCATGTTGTTGGAGCAGTTTTAGGCTAAAGAAGGGAAGGGAAGCCCTTTGTTGTATATTATGCTAGTAGAACTCTTAATAGTGCTCAAAGGAATTATTCTACAACTGAAAAAGAGTTACTAGCTGGTGTTTTTGCGTTAGATAAATTCCGTTCTTATCTCATTGGTTCACCTATTACTATGTTTACTGACCATGCAACACTTAAGTACCTTTTATGTAAGAAGGATGCTAAAGCTCGTTTGATAGGTGGGTTTTACTTTTGCAAGAATTTGATCTCACAATTAAAGACAAGAAGGGTGTTGAAAATGTGGTGGCTGATCATTTGTCTCGATTGGAGTTTAATGACGCCGATATTGAAAGTTCACCAATTCGAGATGACTTCCCTAATGGACATTTGCTCACTGTTAGCCAAGTTCCATGGTACACTCACATTGTTAACTACTTGGTTTCTAGTGAAATTCCATCGAATTGGAGTGCACAAGATAAGCGTAAGTTCTTGGTTGAGGTAAGAAATTTTTATTGGGATGATCCTTATTTGTTTAAGTATTGCTCTAACTAGATCATGAGACGATGTATTCCTGAATATGAGATTAATAGTGTCCTTAACTTTTGTCACTCTGAAACTTGTGGTGGCCATTTTTTGATGAAGAAAACTGCTGCAAAAATTTTGCAATGCGGATTCTATTGGCTTACTTTGTTTAAGGATACTAATTCTTTTTATCTTTCCTATGATAGGTGCCAAAAGTTAGTTGCATTATCTCGTTATCACATGATGCCTCTTAACCCAATTCTAGTCATTGAGATTATTGATTGTTAGGGTATTGATTTCATGGGACCATTTCCATCTTCTTTTGGTTACCTTTATATTCTTCTTGCTGTTGATTATGTGTCTAAATGGGTTGAAGCTATACCTTGTCATACCAATGATAACAAAGTAGTTGTTAAGTTCTAGAAAGAAAATGTGTAACTAAGTATGGTACACCATGTGTGATTATTAGTGATCAAGGGACACATTTTTGTAATTGTTCTTTTGAAGCCTTGATGCGCAGATATGGTGTTATTCACAAGGTGTCAACCGCTTACCATCCACAAACTAATGGACGAGCTGAATTAGCTAATAAGGAGGTAAAACAAATGTTAGAGAAAACAGTAAACCCAAACCGCAAAGATTGGTCTTTACGCCTTTCAAATGCATTGTGGGCATATCGCACTACCTATAAGACTATTCTTGGGATGTCTCCATATCGGCTTGTATATGGGAAAGCATGTCATTTGCCTGTGGAACTTGAACATAAAGCTTATTGGGCTACTAAAGCACTTAATTTTGATTTCAATGCTGCACGTACCCAAAGAAAGTTACAAATATCAGAGATAGAAGAATTGAGGAATGATGCATATGATAACTCTAGGATCTACAAGGCTAAATTGAAAGCAGCTTATGACAAGCAGATCCTAAGGAAGAACTTTGAGCCAAATCAAAAAGTGCATCTTTATGATTCTCGGTTGCACCTTCATCTAGGAAAGCTAAGGTCTAGATGGACAGGGCCATTTGTGGTGAAACAAGTTTTCCCTAATGGTGCAGTTGAGATTGAGGATCCAATCGATGGGAGAAATTTTCGAGTTAATGGACAACGATTGAAGCAGTATGTGGAGCGAGTAGACCAACCTTAGGAGATCACTCTCATGACTCCAATCTATGAGACATAATCAGGTTTTATCTTTCCAGACTATTATTTGTTTTTCTCATTTTCTTAAGTTTTTCTTTTATTAGTTTTTTTTTAGGTTTCCTTCCCTAGTTGTTACGTTTTAGGGTTGCCTTTGTTTCTTTTATGCCAGTGAAGACATTGTCTCGTTTAGGTTGGGGGTGGTAGCATTGCACGCACATTTTTGGCACACTTTTTATATACATTCTCTTCAAAA